GATCTGGTTCTCCAAAACGTTCCCTCCCTAGTCCCAACCTAAGTGTATTTCTGGGGCTGTTCCAACAATTTCTTTCAAGATGTTACTAATCAGTAGATCTGAGTGGGAGAAGATGGTATGGCCTGAACCTAAACCATTCAGGGCCTTAATTATCAGCAGCCATTTAAATTGGAAGTGGAAACAACTAGGAAGCCATGCAGCTGTTGAAACAAGATTGAATTTCCTGTATGCAGCTAGGTTGCTCCAGAAATTTAATTTTACCAAGGTGTCCAAAGGCAGCCCTCTGTAAAGGACATTATAAGATGCTGCATGTGCTAAAGAAGGCATGTATTATTATTGCCATAACTGGATTCTCCAGGAACAGGTACAGTGACCTTGCCTTGCTCCGCTGCCCAAAAGCAGGCCTGACCATAGCCAAGATCTAAACAAGCAGATTCAAGAACTCCCAAATTCTTAACCTTCATTTTCAAGAACATCTCATCTAGATGACACCCTAATTCGAGGTCAGTGCTGCTGGGCAATTGTACTACTGACTAGTCTGGATTCCATTTCATTTGGTTGTTCACACTCAGACCACAGTCATTTTCTAGCAACAATTTAAATCCACAACAGCCTTCCTGGAATGAGATGGAAAGTAGAGATAGGCTGGTAGCATTCATGGTTTGAAGTACTTAATTCTGAAACCCGGAATCACTTTTCCCACTCCATGTGGCTCGGGTGTTAAAATATGTTGAAGATGCATGTTAAAGCACAGGACTTTCTTAGTGTAGCTTCTAACTTTGTAACTTCTCCTGAGAAGGCTCGCTAGAGCTTCTGTGTGTTTCTTTTAGGAACAGTTGAAGACTTTTTCATGTTCACAGAACTTTTAGAGGCTTTAGTGTTGAATTGTGCATTCACTTAGCTATCAATAGCATATTTTGAAAGCTATGCTGCTCCTTTAAAGAAAAACATTTGTTTTTATTCCAACTTTAAACAATTGTTAACTTCTAAGAGAATTTCCAGGATGATCAGCAGGGTAAAAAATTAAAAGAATGTTCTCCTTGAAGATAATAATCTTCCTTTTTACTGCTGGAAATGATAAGTAAGAACACTATATCCAGTATGACTTTAGGCTTGCACAGCTGTTCTTTAAGGAGGATAGCACATGTGGCCATTTCTTGTTAAGATGCACTTTTGGCAAAATTCCACAAATTAGTAAAACACTGGTCTTTTGTAAGGGATATATACATAAGGATTTAAGACAAGAGCTTTTAATTTTTTAAAAAATTATGCCAGAAACATCCATAATATGTTTAAAGTAATTTTTTACAAAACATGAATTTCATTATTATTATTTGTCATCATCATCAATATTATATATTCAGTAGTATTACCTTCTAAATACCAGCCCTTTAAAATTAGCATTCAAAGTGGGTTTGTAGACTGAGTTGTATAAACAAATTACTCACTTTTCAAAACTGGCAAATAAATTTAGTCCAAACCTATTTCTGTGAAGGTGTAAGTCTAAATATTTGACTGTATTAATCAAAAAGTGAAGTTTTTCAAACAGTAACACTCCCAACACATCTGCCTGAATCCCAATCTTGTCTACACAAGTGTCAGCACTGGGTAAATTTAGCAGATGGCTATAAACCATATCAGCAGCTGTATCACAAGGCTAGCCTAATTTGGGCAGCATGGCAAAAAAAATTTCCTTTGAAAAATGTCAACTGTCTACATTATCAGAGATTTAGCAAAATTTATGTTGTCCTGTTTGTCTATAATTTTTACTAAAACTTTTAAACAAGAAGATAAAAACTAATACAAACTAATATAAAGTAAGGGAAAAAAGAAAAAAAGGAAGAAATCAAAGAAAAAGAAAAGTGCAAGAAAAGAAAAAAGTTGAGAGAAAAGAAAGAAAAAGATATAAAGAAGTAGCTTTCAATATTCTTCACAGCAGTTATGAATACAAATATATTCTATATATTTGTACAATTGAATACAAATATATTCTATAATATATCCTATCTAATAATCAAAACCATAAATCACAAGTTCATTTTTTTCATTTTTATGGAAAAAGTCCATAAGACGCTTCCAATCACCAATAAATGTAGATAATGTCTTCTCTCTAATCAAAGATTTAGGGATCAATTTATCCCTTTCAGCAAAATCTATCAACTTCACCAACTATAGTGGGTAGTATCAAATCTTTCCATCTCTGTGCATATAGTAACCTTGCCACAGTAATCGTCTTCTGTGGCTTTTTTCTAACTATTTATCCATTAATCCTAAAAGTAAAAGTTCTGGCTTCAGTTGAATATTGATCTTTAAAATATGTATTTGTATAAAAAAAAATTAGCTTTTTTTACATGTCCGCCAAGCAAGGTAAAATGTCCCTCCTTGTTCATATTTCCAACACACATGTGAAACACCTTTATACATTCTATATAATTTTTCTGGTGTCATGGAGCAACAATACATAATTGTATAAAAATTCTGAGAACATAACACAATGTAAATTTCAACCCTTTTAACCACATATTTTCCCATTGATCCATCTGTAT